ACTGCGACGCATTAAGCCCATTTCAGTCGACTCGCTGAGCTCAATTCTTGAGCATATCTCAATTAATTCTTGATTCTTGATTCGTGTGTATTGCTCCTTAACAGACCTCATAGTTACCGATAGCCGCATTCATCCAATTTAGTCGAGTGTGTGGAACCTTTCGCAAGTGTTGTTACTGAAAGCAGTACAATGAGCTGATGGAAATCTTCGGAATAGTTTTCAACTACGTAGCTATTTCGCACGCCAATGTTTGCATTTACAAATCACGTGGCTTCAGATCTTCGACTCGGTTAAACGGTAACAGGCTCCCAGTCTAAAATGCATGGAGTTTTGCGCAGATCTATCGGCATGGATGGCGGCAACGGCGTTAATTCGCGTGGTGCTTTCAACATTGCACTCAATCCATTTCACTTGCTAAGGAACAATAAATAATACTGATGAATCTTGTGTAATTATGTCTGTTGGTACCTAATTGCTTATATGCAAGCTCTAACCCTCATACAGCTCAGAAGAAAAGTCGTTACATATCGTATTTTTGCTCGCATAAAGCCGAAATAGGTTAGCTATGAATAACTGAATGCCACCGTGAATATGCCATGATTGAGATTGTAAGTTCGTTGATGACCTTTAAACTGAAGGCATGTCACCCAAGTGCTCTCTCAGAAGGTGCTACACCATCTCTCATCAATAACCTTCTACCGCCGTATGTCACTCTCCGAAATCATAACTTTCAATTTGAAATATACGTAAACTATTGAGTGAAGCAGCCTGTGCATGTTTGTACGCAACAGAGAACATTTTAAAGTTGTCGTACGTGGCGGCAACCATCAGTGCAAGTCATTTTGCGCTCACTAGAACGTATCTTTTTTGGGAAGTAGGCTTGTGACAATATTACTCATGTCAGGAGTAGAGGGTTAAATGCAATCGTGTATCTCCCCGTACTAGGTTTAATGTCGATCCCTTGGTTTTCACTCAGAAGCGATCGAGCGCTCCTTTATAGCCTCGTTCGAGGCGATGTTCTTTCTCGCACTCCTTGCCTTGATCCTTACTGCCACTTCACTTTTCTCGTTGTCTTTCTCCGACGCTTCATTGTCTTGCTCCGACGCTTTATTGTCTTGCTCCGACGCTTAAATTGGGGTTCCAAGGATAATAAGAAACACCAAGTAATTTATTACAAATTGAAGAAAGAAGTCCTATTTGTATACTATTTATAATTAGGAAATTCTTTAGAAAAAAGTACATCCTAATTAAATTTCATCATACCTTGCCTAGGGTCCACGCTGTCGTCTAACAAATACACAGCAATTGATATTAAGTTTCGTGGAAATCCACGATTGGATAAATTAGTTATTGTGCTGGAAGAAAACAATTGTAGGTTAAAGTAACTTACAAATTAAGTAGAGTATGGCTCACAACTATTCCACTTACTTACTATTCTAGTTATTCACTTACCAGAACGACGGCTTGAAGTGCTGCATGTCGAGTCGTCGCCGTGTGCTTGAGTGCTGCAGTGTTGCTGCGATGAGCGTAAATCGTCTTGGGACTCATTAGCTGCCTCAACGCCACCCTCAGTCATAGGAACAGCTTCCGCCTCAATGTGATCAGCGCCACCACCAGAGTTGGACACGGCTTCATCTAATGAATCAGCAACTGGTCCTGGAAGAAGAAAGGAAAGATTAAAGTAACTTTTCTTAAAATCATCTTCGCGGAAATCCACGATTGGATAACTTAGTTATTGTGCTGGAAGAAAAAATTGTTGGTTAAAGTAACTTTTTCAAAATCATCTTTCAGTCAACAAATGTGCACCAGTCAACAAAGTTATTTCAGTCAACAAAGTAATTCCCCACATTGAGTAGAGCAAAGATGTTACTTGCTTGCAGTCGTAGTAGCTGCGATGCCACGTCAGCTTCCTCTGAAGTGCAGACTCTCTCCAAAAGATCTTGCACAAATTCGTTCACGTCTTGAACGGCGGCCATCTCATTGCTGTCGCTAAGCGCTCGGTTAGCTTCTTGAACGGCCTTCTCATGTTGTGCTCTACGAGCCGCGGTAGCTTCTGAATAGGCTATCATGAAGTAGCGTAAATCACTGTCTCTAACGGCAGCGATCTCGGCAGCACGAGATTGTGAGGAACCTTCTCGAACGGCGGCCTCTCTATTCTGGACGTCTCTACGCGTAGCTGTAACATAGCGGCGTATGTCCTCTGATGGAGCGGCAGCATGATGTGGTGAAGAAGCTGTCGATTGGCCTTCACGTTTTCGAGATGGTCGTTTACGTTTCTTAGCAGTCTTGGGTATCTTGGCGGTGGTATCATTCGATCTGCTTTCTGGTGCAGCATTCCCCGTCCCCGATGCTTCATCCATAAACAAGGCAGCAATCTCAGGACGTAAAGCAGTTTTACCAGCAATTTTCCCTCCCATTTTCCGTTTTTTCGCCCCTTCAACTTTTTTCCCGTCAGCACTAACAATACATGAGGGGTTTGAATTGCAGGGATCGGATGGCAGAGATCTGACTCCCGCTTGGGAGTCTGGCACAATGTGTTTGATTTGGTCCGTCTGTTTGACTTTGTATTTAATTACTTTACTCTTCTTAGCTACTTTATCATTATCTTTCTTAATCTTTTTAAGTTCACTTTCCACAGGACCTACTGCAAGTCGCCGCACTGGCGAGGAGCGCGATGAGCTAGAGCTCATTATTAAGGGGACCGGGCTGCCCCCGGAGAAACTTCTACAGTTATTATCCGATCATCATGAAACTTCACATACATACTTAGAATGTAAAAAGAAAAACATTTTGCTCGTACGAATTTTTCGAAAAAATTGATAGAAAACGTGAAATTCATAGAAAACGGCTAAAAAGGGGTACTTTAGAAAATCTATCTCCTCCCACAAATATCATCCTACAACATCGAGACACGTATCATTCGATTCGTAAAGACCATATCTATCGACTCTAACATCACTTTTTTTCATTTTCCACCTAGTTTTTTTATGACGTTTTTTTCCCATTTTTTACATTTTTCNAGTAATTAGCGCAATATTGTTCTCTGTCTATAGCAACTTTCGGAAAGCTTCTAAAAACTACGCAGCTCCCACAATAACCTTAGAACTGATGACGTCCATTTTTCGACCGATCGACCTGAAATTCCCATTATGTGTCATGTTTGACGATCAATATCTGGGGAACGAAATGGCCCTGAGATCAATACTTGGGACTAATCGAAGCACATTTGTGTCTTCTTTAAAACTTAATTCGTGTCAATTTTCCTGAATCGTCTTAGTTTTCCAGATAAATTAGTTTCAAATTACGAAAATGTTGAACTAATGTTACGAAAAAACTACCTTAGAACTTCCTAACTCGAAAGCTATTGGCTCAAATGATTGGTCTAAGAAGAAAAATGAAATGAACCCGCTACAAAATTTCCAAGAAGCTGTGCAATCGGGCTTTACAGGGGAATCCAATGCTCAAAATCACTTTGCTGATTGATTTTGTGGTCCACTCCCTGGAGGGACCTGTTAGAAAACCTGTATAAAACCTGTTGCATTACAGGTTATAAGGGCGTTTCTGGAGGGAGGCTGTCACGACAGGTCTCAAACCTAGTAGGGACGTGCGGTCTGGAGGGAATTTTTTGAACCTGTGGATCGAAGAAAAATAATATTAAAATATTAATCTTTGCTTTGGTCACACCATCATTCAACATCATTTTTCACGGTCTATCACATATATAAAATGCAGAACGCTAGAGCCATTTTGAAAATCATAGGGAGAAAAAAAATTTTCAACTTTTGGATACATAGAAAGTTGCGCCTGGCCGAGCTGCACCTACCATAATTTTTGGAGCTCAAATGCGATGAAATTGAGTTCAGTTCGCACATAAGTGTGTTGTTCTTCCCGCCAGAGCGTGAACTTGAGCCAAAAAAACTTTGAATTTAATTTCCAGACTCCCTGTATGAGCTAGGAAAAAAATTTTAGTGGATCAGAAAACCTCAGGATTTTCTCTTTAAAATGATACTAAGGTTCGTTTTCGAGGGAACTATGGTTCGCCTTAGGTTCGAACCTGAAGTTCGGGGGTTCCCTGGATTCTGCTAGGAACACTTACGCGACGGCTTGAAGCCCTGGCGCCGTATATGTCCGCTGGTGCTGCTGAAGTCAGTATTGCCTTCATAGATTTGTAAACAAATAGGCCCACTTCCACACATGCCCCACCATACTTAGACACTTAGTTTTTGATCTCTTCCTTGTGAATTTGTCTTTCCCCCCTTTGATTATACCGGTATTATATGAAGAAATAATGTGGTGTCATGTAAGGCCGTTGGTAGGGTAGTCATCAGGCGTCTGAATTACCAAGGTACTTAACGATGTTTATTTTTCTTCTAGGATCAAGAGCTTTGTCCCTCAGCTACCTTGCTCTCTCTCTCCTCCTCGTCTTAGCTCCGTAATAGGCTACTTGTTGAACTTGTTAGTTGATAAACTTTGAGGAACTTGCCTTTGGTTTACCCTTTGGTTATAAATCCCGTCCCGCCTTAAGCATTGCTTCGTAGCCAATTGCATGGGCAGCTGTTTATCTATTCAGCTTCTGGTCATTGGTAGGTGAGACAAGGATGGTCAATGCGAACCGTTAGGTGAGGTTACCGGTTGCTTGGTGGTCGGAGGCCGGTTAATTACATCTTTTTTTTGGTGCTGATTTCCGAAATGTTTTCAATATAGATAAGATGAATTTATGGGGCGTTTCCTTATTTTGCGATTTTGACTGTATAGCTATGAAGGATTAGGCTAATTTATAACTATCGGGATGGACAGGCTGCACCGCGCAGTGCTGGCTGCTGTACCGCGCAGTGCTGGCTGCTGTACCGCGCGTTGTCTTGTCCAGCAGCTGCACCGCGCAGTGCTGGCTGCTGTACCGCGCATTGTCTTGCTCCAGCAGCTGCACCGCGCAGTGCTGGCTGCTGTACCGCGCGTTGTCTTGCTCCAGCAGCTGCACTGCGCATTGCTGGCTGCTGTACCGCGCGTTGTCTTGTCCAGCAGCTGCACCGCGCTGGAGAGGGCGACATGGGGGCCCATGGGCGCTCGGCGGGGCCGGCGTTCCTTGACTGGTGGCAGCGGCTGAACATCGCGCGCGGCACTGCGAGGGCGCTCCAGTTCCTGCACACCGTCAAGGATAAGCCGCTCATCCACGGCGACATCAAGAGGTGCGTGAAAATAGGAAGCCTCCCATAGAGTTCAGGCATTATTCCAGGAGCCCTTTCCTTTAGTTTTCCCTAAATATTTACCAGTATTTCAGAAAACGGAAGATCGTCACAATACGGGATGAGGTATTAAGCTATTAATTTAATTATGATGCGCAAGTTCTCGAAATCATCCTGTGTCCACTATTTTACTTCTATCAGATCTACTCAAGACAAGTTTCACTAACTATCGCCACTAAAAGGATTATTGAGAGGCGCTTTTTTATAGAATATTTGTTTGGTTAGCATAAGGTTCAAATGTTTTGAGTGTGCAGTTTCACTAGACGTGGTGCGCAAGTACTCTTCTAAATCGCTCAGCTATCGCCTGCGTAAGTTCTAGCTACAGCCGGCGTAGTTTCTACCTATTCATCTCTGTGAGCCATTTTATCACAGTGGTGAGTTGAGAGCTTTCTTACAAATTAAGCTTCGAACTTTGAACTTGTATCTGACACTCCATATATTGAGTTATGGAAAATACTAGTTTTCACGGTGTTTCTCTGGACATATCTGAACATGTTCTATTAAAGAGCGATGACTTTTGTATAGTTTTCTTCATTATCTACATTTTACAGGTCATATAAATGTTAAAACAAATCTTTTTATTCCCAACTCACGAATCGTGACCATTGAAATCGGAAGAAATAAACTTGATGATTTGCACAGCAAAGATGTTTAAATCACATGGTGTGATGTTCCCTCCTTGATATCAAAAAATCTTCAGGCATGCAAACTTAGCAGTGATGTATATTTGCTCACTGCACACTGTTAGAGAAATTGCCGTTAACGGTATTACCGGCGTCTCAGTGGCCGATCTGCGCGTGAAAAGAAACAACCGAGGCGCCGTTTTTATTCTAATTTAACACTAGATATCCGTACCTAAAACATCTGATAAAAACGGCGAAACAGTTTATTTTCACGGGGCGACCGGCCACTAGAATGCCAGTGGGACCGTTTTTTCACCGTTTTTCACCGTTTTTTCACAGTTTTTCACCGTTTTTTCACCGTTTTCACAGTTTTTCACCATTTTCACAGTTTTTCACCGTTTTTTCGCCGTTTTTCACCGTTATTCACCGTTTTTTCTAACAGTGCCAACATTCTGCTGGACGGCAACTTTGAACCTAAGTTGGGGGACTTCGGGCTGGCCCGGGAAGGTCCCATGAGTCAGTACACCAGCATGAAGGTGAGCACGCTGGACCGGCCTTAGCGGGCAACTCGGGGCTGGTGCTGAGTTGTGATCATAAATGTTATGTAACTTCATATTTATTGTGAATATCATTTTCTACTTTAGAATTTAGTATATAATATGAAAAAAATTACCATTTGATACGAGTTTAAATGAATATCGAACTTTTTTTGTTCATATGATCAATACAGTTAATATTTTAACGAGATTCAATATCATTTTATCACTATAAATTTCACCCCATAAATTATTTTCATTTTCTTTGGCTACAGTTAAAAAAATAAAATAACTGCTAAGATATGCATGATAATATCTCGCTGCATTTCAACCTAAGCATTATACTTGCTTTTGTGTCGGCATTGCTGTCTACTTCTGGTAATGGGAATGAAACATCCATTGATATTTCACTTACGGGGATTTAATATCTTCAACAGTTCTTCATCATAAGAGAGAGCTGACTGGAAAGCTTGTGTTTTTGCATACAATACAGTATTTGGAGAAGTGAACCGCAGTGATTTTGAAGAGGAGACTTAAATGAGAGCTAATGGCTCACAAGCTCCCTGTAGTTCTTCCTTCAGTATTGCTCGCAGTTTCTTAGTGCATTTACCACAACTTTTCAGCGCGTTGGTTGCTTTTCAATTTTTATGTTATTAACTTCTGTGAAACTGGGCGGAGAAAATGAGCTGAGCAGCTGAAGGAGTAAATAATGTAGAAAAGCTGCCAAAGGCGGCTTTCTTCCTTTTTCTTTATTGCTACGATTAAATTCGAGGAAGAAACAATCCAAAGATCAAATAGAGCTTTTGACATGTTAAAAGCAAACAGCCTAAAACTCCGAGCTCTAATTAGATTGTTTTCGTTCCTCAAACGAAAATAATTAGATCAACACGAGTAGGTACGTTGATGTCACCCGCCAACGCACCGTAAGTAAGTTACTGCTCACACCAACACGGATGAAAGAATTAGGAGTTACAACGTCGTGAGACTGGTCGCTGGTATCACGATAAGTCTATTGACGGGAATTGATCGCTTCCTTGACGTCAGATATCAAGGTTAAGAAGTTGAAGTATTCAATTTGTTTCTGCCAATGGATTTGTGCAGCGTTTTTAACCACTCTCAGAAGGCGCTGCCAACTGGCAGCAGCCCAACGTGAATATACTGGAACAGGGTAATGCTTTACGTTATTTTGGGCTAAATATTCAGAGAAGCAACTATCTGAAAAGGACTTGTTCAGCAATTCGGCAGATTGAACAAAGCTAGGAGCGTTCTCGCTGTAGATGCTTCGAGGCAATCCAAACCGGTTCACGAATCTCACTTAGGCAGAGAGGAACGACTTCGTGCTCATGTCAGGCACAACTTCCAAATGAATGGCACGGACACTAAAACGGGTGAATATGACAAGATACATTTTGACGTAGGTACCGGCCAACTGCACGAAAAAATGACCAGTAGAATCAACACCTGTGTTTTCGAACAGTCTCACGAAATTGACGCGGTCAAGCACGTAGTCGGTTACCTTGGGATACCTGTAGTGTAAGATAATGCATTCATTTTAGTGCAGATGACACATTCCTTCAGCACGCGCTTCACTTAAGGTCGTGGTTTGGGAAGCCAATAACCCTGGTTACGGAGAGTATTTAGGGTGGAAGAAAGTCCCATGAGCTGGCACCTTAAATGAGAATCTCTACTAATCAAGTTGGTGAAATGGTTATCGCGGGCAATGAGAACAGGATGCTTAATAGCATATGGCATGTAATTACATCTGCTTAACCGTCCTCTGGCACGAATAATACCATCAGCATCTAAGAATAGGTTAGCCCCCGATCTCTGCTGCGTCTACGTCGTGGAGGTATCCTGGCCTGCGCGTCGGCCGTATATGCCCGGCATACTCGGGAGTCAGGCCAAACGGCAGAGGCCCGGATCGCTACCGGAAGAATAGGTTAAGATCTCAGACCAAAGGAGGCACGGTACCTGAGCCATTTGAAAGCAAAAAGGCAAGCTCCTCCCTGCAATGCAGAGATTGTTCAAATTTGATCCAGTATTTGCGTGCCAGCGTCAAACTATTCACGCGATCGGGCTTTGCCTTTCTAAGAGAACCGACGAAGTGGAACACGAAGTGTTCAGCTGCGAATACCTGTGAAGATCAATGACAGGAGCGCTGACGCAATTATTCATACTGCGCCACAGCCGATCTTCTTATTGGTATTAGACAAAATTTATAAGCTGGCTTTAGGCCAACTTTTTTCATCCTGGCAAAGAAATTCGGGACCTTTCTGCTAGAAAGAAAAACTGTCGCGAAATTGTTTAACGGTAATCCCCCTGGTAAAAAGGTCTGCAGGATTCTACGAAGGGGGCACATATTTAAATTCACATTTAAGGTTAAATTCACCTTTCAGTTGGTCACAGAAATTTTGAATACATTTCACTCTGTTGTATGCAGACATTTTTGGATTTATTTTGCTTGTGCAGGACCCACAACAGAACAATCTACGAATCGACAGTAATGACGACACTGGTCATTTTAACCCTGTCAAGTGATCGCATCAGACACATCAAACATTTTATAGCGAGAAAAATTGCTAGCAGTTCTAATGTAGGCAGGCTTTTCGACTTCAAGGGCGACACCTTGGTCTTGCTAAAAAGCAAATTTGCAGACTTTCCTACCTCTCCGTCAACGACACTATGGACATTGAATCCATATTTAGCTTTTGAAGCGTCAGTAGAGGACTAGCTTCACATTTTCAACAGTGGCAAGAGCCTTTCTATCAAACTGAAAGGTATTTAACAAGTTGAGCTCAGCGAGCAGCTGGAGCCAATCTACTTTATTGTCGGGTGAGACTTGGTCGTCCCAAGCAATGCCCGACTGCCATAGACGCTCATAAGAAACTTGCCCCTAACGAAAATGGGATTTAGCAAACCTAAGCTAGGGATCAAAACATTTAAAAAGTTTAGACAGAACTGAACGTTTCGTGGCCGGGTCATGCTGACCGGAAGCATCATTGAAGGCAAGATACATGGTGTCGTTGGATTTGTTGTACATGTAGCCCAGAATTTTTTCTGCATTACCTTGATGCTGCACAGCCAGACCGTCCGTCTCAAATGTCTGATTAAGCACGTCACAATTAGAAGCCCAGGGGCCGTATCATCAAAACTTCGTAACTTTTTGTACTTCCGACATAAAAGTTACGTGTTACGTAAGTATATCCTAATTTTGGCATTATCAAAACATTCGTACGTAAGACTTAGCTAAAAGCGTACTTTCAAAACCATCTGGCCAACTGACCAATCAGAGGCTTTGGATTTGTTTACATTCTGTGAACTTCGATGGCGGGAATCGATGCCTTCGATGGTATCGACTATCGAATGTGTGTTGCTACTTGCTAGTAAATCAATAGTTTCCTATCGCTTCAGCAGACACTCTAAACTCCACTTACGACATCTCCGAGCAGGCGTACAGTTACGTTACGTATCTTCCCGCGCAAATGTTTTGATAATACCACCTCTAGCGTTACGTCATCAAGTCAGCACTTACGCCACTCGTAAGTCGATTTTGCGTACATACGAAGTTTTGATAATACGGCCCCAGGAGCGCAGGACGAAGCCACCGTCCAGCATGCGCGAGTAGGCAGTGCGGTACAATTCAATCATCTGGGATGTAACGTTGCCGGTCATGAACAGGGCAGAGATTAACGAAACTTCGCTAAGTTCACGTTACTTTTCGTACTTACGTTCAAAAAGTTACGTATGGCGTAAGTCAGTCAAAATTTGGCATTAACAAAACTGTCTTACGCATGACTCATCTGAAAAGGTATTATCGAAACCATCCAACTAACTGACCAATCAGAGGCTTTGGATTTGCTGTTCCTAGCTCCTGACTCCTGTCGACTCAGTGCGCAGAGCGCGTGGATGGAAGGAGGTTGTGTCGTGTCAGCGGCATCAGCGTAGACTGACTAGGGTGCATATGGAGAAATAAGTGTGACGTTATCCAAATAACAATGCACTTGTTGTTGTGATCATTCATCAAAATTTCTTGTAATCAGGGCAAAAAAATTGCACTATTCCCATTCAAAACTAGAAGACTTTTTAGAGAGACCTATATAATTTAGAAAATTTTATGAGTTGGAGTTGTGACTGTCAGAGAAAAAAGGAAATATGTGTACGGAGCTAAAAAAAATGGTTGGCTTGTCAACCTCCACATAATTTTGAATCAAAAAGGCATGAAGATATTTTGAATCAAAAGGCATAAAACTCTTGAACATGAATATCAACATTTGCTTGTAAATTAAAACACAAGAGGAAAACAAATTAGCTTCTGGTATAAACTCAATCGAATATTTTTTCCTAAAAGCACTAGCCCGATCCCATATTATACCTAAGTCTCATTATTGAAAAAATTCTATTACAATTCAACTTGCTGCTAGTAAATTAATAGTCTCATATTGCTTCAACACTCAAAATTTGTACGTAACTCCGCTTACGACACCTCCGAGCAGGCGTACAGTTATGCACAAATTTTTATACGTAGCTTCCCGCGCAAATGTTTCGATAATAACACTCAGCAGAGTCACGTCTACTTAGCTGTACTTACGCTAAACGTTAGCGGCTACGTATACTTAGCATGTTTTGATAATCCGGCCCCAGGTTGTCAACGTACAAACAGTTCTTAAGGAAATAAGAACACTTAAGTCATTCGGAACTGAGCGACATGGTGCTTGGTTACAAAATTTAGAATGAATGGACTGGCGACATAGCCATACATAATAGATGTGTAACGGTAAGCCTTGAGCTCGCCTTTTCTAACCCATAAAATACAGAATATATTGCGAGCATGCTTGTCGCTCAGCTTAATTTGAAGGAAGGCACGTTTAATGTCAGATATCACTAAATATTTATCATGACGCAATCCTAGCAGCAAACTGAATAGATTCGACATCAAATCTACACCCTAAAAGGAAGCTGCGTTATGAGGAGAACCGCGCACTTTAAGCGAACAATTTAGCACAGGGCGGACCTTCTGTGTGGAT